GGGTCCCCTCTTGAAGAATTATCAGGGAGGCGTCTGACGGTAGTTGAAAACTTCGCGGCTGGCTGAGGGCAAAGGCAAGTGGAAACTAGATACGTCTTGGTTTGCAAGACCTAAGCAAGGGGCGAAGGGAGAGTAAAGGGACTATAAGAAAGAAGGGAGAGTTGGAGCCGGGAATAGCTACTGAAAATGCCGATATCTTTTCGAATGTAGACAGCGTAATGGGAGGGGGGTCGACTCTCTTGTATTCGATTCGCGATGTGTTGAAGGTCTTATTGTCTGTAGGGCCAAGGCACGCTTGATTTCAGCCGATGCAAACTCTCGCGTTCTTTTGTCTGGTACCTGGGCACCGGTAATAACCCAACATCAAAGGACGAGACGTTATTAAGTGATTGTCTCGACTTATGAAGGGGTCTGTGTGCCACCCCTGTCCGAGGCGATAGACGCTACCAACAGTTGGACTTGGCGTCAGACACAACGCTTTTCTTTTCTGGGGGACACCCTCTCCAAGACCCTCCCCGCCTAAGAGGAGATAAGGTGGAGCGAAGAAGCAAAAGCATCAACCGGGACCCTATCCGTACCTACCGCAGGGTTATAAGGATAGTTTCGTGCGGCTACGTTGCTATGAGCGAGGGCGTCGCTTCATCAGAGCAGCCTGTCAGCACGTGCAGAACTCGCCGCCGACTAGGATGATCGTCCTGCTTTACCATGCCTTTTACTACAGTTGCTTCTACTGCCATCCTTGGTGGAGCAACAAAGCCTGCGTATCGTATGTATGATGCATCCAACCCACCACGGTTCCGTAGGGCTAATCGGCTTGGCAAACAACTCCCTCCTTAGGGTGTGCAGTCACCAATACATTCCCCAACTACAAGTTGAATTCACAAGAATAGCTCATGGGCCTTTTGACGGAAGATTACAGTAAAGAGGGAGAAAGAGCAGTACCTAGATAGCTCATCCTATCCGGGGAGACCCGCATCGCGTAGAAGCAAGGGGCGGATAGTTGAGCGGAGTGACCTATCCCTAAAAAGAGGCACACACTCTGATCGAGTTCGAGCACGGAGTACTACTCCATAGCTGATGCGGGATATCCAAGAAGAGACGTGCTAGCCAGAATCTATCTTAATAATCCAACGCGAAACTTTTCGCTTCCGATAATCAAACCATATGTTCTGGGTGGGTTTTTATTTTCCCAGGTGAACATTGGCCGTATTGTGGATAATAGGCTAGGCCATGGTCAAGGTACCCTAGCCCATCTGGCTCGCTAGACTGGGGAGTGGTCTATTTAACGCAGCCTCTGAGATCGCGTTAAGCCGAATTTGCACTGTCCGGGGCAAACCCTGTCGTCCAGATCCTAGCAAGATCTCACTCGAGATGTGCGAATGACATTGGCCAGGGGGTCGCCATTATGTTGGTGCTTCCGATCTAGGCCAATCTGCTGCCACTTTGACTGTACCCGGCGCCAGGCTATTCAAGACCAACTTACTGAGAAAAAAATGTTTGCTCAATAACTTAATATGTAAAGTGCTGGTTGGATGTTAAAGCCAGTAGCGTACGCCTCAACCGTTCTGCTGGGACCGTAGCCGTGGGTCAACTGTTTTCTGGTCGAGCTGAGGGTGTCGTTAATAAAACTTGACGCCAATAGTTCCCTTGTTGACAACTATGATGAAAGCAACACCCTTCTGACCAGGATTGAGTGTCGGTTACCAGCATGCACTCTCTTGCACGTGGAAGTCAGTGATAGTCTTCTGACTCAGATGAAAACCGAATGTGTCCATTGACTGCCGCTAATCGCAACAGGCTCAGCGACTTGGTGGAGGCAAGAACGAGTATCTGGCCGTAGCGGGGAAATCAATTGATGTGTCCTGGGGCCAGCGGGAGCTTCTGTGAGAAACAGGGCCAATAAGAAAAAGTTCCCGTTTTTATTCGTACGGGAAGAATAAGGTGCATTCTGCACCGTTAGCTATCCAGAAACTTACATGCTGCGGGCAAGATGAAAGGGTGAAAGGGTGCAGGAGAGGCGTCCGAGTCTGATTACATTACAGGCAGCGGTGTACATCCAATTGAGTACATTTTCTAATGAGAAGAGAGAAGCAAAGGTTAGAACGCCACAAAGTCTGCAGGGTATTCTGTCATATTTGACGAGTATCTTGTGTGTGGGAGCTCATGCTCCGCCTGGGTGCAGTGGACTCATTACCAGCAGACTACGCAGCCAACGCAGGTCCAATCTCAAGGTATGCGACGACTGTTTGTTGTGTCTTGTATTGGCGATGACGATACAGGATCATCTCGCGGGCTGGCGGCACGTGGGAGCGACCGTCGCGTTGAGGAAGCAAGCCTGGAACAGAGGACCCATGGTGCTGTAGATGAATCTTGGTTACTCTTTGTAGCACTGTTAGTTGTTGCTGGTCGTCATTGTTGATCTTGATCGTGGCGATAGAATATGTATTGTTGATCGCTGTTTGGATCACGTAGACATGTACCGTTTTCTCGCTTTTCGAAAGTTGACAGATGATCTATCTGTTGTATCAATTATCGTTTCTTCAGTATCCGAATTGGATCCTTGCAGCTGGCAGCATTTTCAGATCGACAGCTTCTTCCCATAAGGTCGGGCTGAACTCAGTATAGGCGCGCAATAGCGTCTGAGGTACCCGTTATGCTACTGTGATAGTCCCCAGCAAGTCTGTAATACCATGCAAGCGTTCGTCATCGGCTCCTCATTAAGACGAGATGCTTAAGGGGATGTGCTGTGTAACCAACAGATGACGGATTTGCTTTTTTGCTGCTAATGTCATGGCCAACACATCGAATGGGGGTTGCGCACTGGGTGGCCAGCCACACCTGTCCAAACCCGATACGGCAAACGCTGCAGAAAGATTCTCGTTGCTTTGGGGCGGTGTCGAGACTTTGTTGCAGTCGCGAGCTGAAGAAAGTGAGAGCTGACAGATGAGAAACAAGGATGATGAGGGTATGAGGTTGACGAGAAATATCGGTCAACTTGCCAAGACAAGATGGACTCTGTTTCAGCTGAAACCTGAGGCATCGCCTTCGTGGGCAGTCGTGACTTCCATTCCTTCCATTCTATATCAGTCAGGTGAAGTTGACTTGAGCCTCATTCATTAGGTAGGTACCTTAAAGGTACCACATGGAAAGCACTTTGCCTTGAGGTGTGTTGAGTCTAAAGATCAAGCACATGACCCAAGCGTCTAGCGTTTGCCGCGCTACCAACATACTACTAGGTACTACCTAGTACCTAACGTCAAGTGCCTACTACTTAGCAGGTACCTATACCTACCTACCTACCTAAGGTAGCTTAGTAGTATCTGCCTCTCGGCTGTCAGATTAACGAGGTCCTTAACCAACTTATTAAGCGTCTCATCTCCTATAAGACCCACAGGCTGGAGGCGATCGGACGCCTCGAAATCTATTGTGAAAATATCCTTATTCCATAATTGAACCGATCAGTTGAATTATGTATCATCTTCCCTCTTTTCTCCTTAAGCCCCACCTCCACTCTCTCCACCTTTATATCCTTATTAGGTGCCTACATATTGTCTGCCAATTGGTGGTAGCAGGTAATGAAAGGAGGTTTGGGTATGGAATCTGTGTGGGTTTAGTCGACCATACTGGGAGATTGTATTATTAAATTTTTAGTGTTATTTTGCTCATTCATTTGATTCATGTTCCGGGTCTGTCTCCTGGCTCTTGACTCCTAACCACCTGACTCCCTCGCTATGTTGAACTGTTATGGGAAGGATATCTGCACTTATTATTGGGTACATTTGCAACGTCGTCTCACGGATCTTATACGCGAGCTTCTCACCACCCTCCTTGCTTGCCCTGTGTAAGATGGAGAAAATCTCACAACATGCAAGGCATGTTATTGCTGTGAACCTCCTAATAAAACATGCATCACGTATATCGCTACTTCGTGTTTCCGGACTGGAGCCCTTGTCAGTCTGCCTCCAGTCTATCCTTGCTCTTCTCCACAAGTTCGCATGTGAGCGATACACGGATGACACGGGCCATTGAATGTTTACAGTACAATTCGTCAACACCAGCTTCTTATTTGCCGAAGTGATCTTGTCAGTTGTTTATAGTCAAAACGCTAATCGAGACGATGTGAGCTGAGGATCAGTGTTCCTAGCTCCATTCTTGAAAGGAACAATCGCTCAGATGATGATCCTTGTACTGCTGCTACGACAGTGCCGAGGTATTCTCCAGTGACGCAACTCATTATTACCTAGCATGTTCGTCTCCGAAGATGATTGACCTAAGGGCTCAGCAGAGCAAGGGTCGGATGATCCGTTATGGGTGTGCTATCACCTCTTATTTTGGGTCTGGCCCGCATCTTGATACCATGTTCAGATTTTTCTTGTCCTTAATGTAAGGGAGTTTTACGATTGACTCAATTTTGATTGACTCGTTGTTTCTTCCTAGTTGCCGACTTGTCGTCACCGAGTCACAAAGCACTTAACAGTCCCGTGTGTCACTGCAACGAGACCCAAAGTATCTAGCCACAGGATGAACCGCCCTCCCCGTTGTGCTGTCACACAATCCAAGCCCAGCTGGCTACTGCACGCAGATGCGATGCAGGCACGTTGAACTTAGTACCAGGGGTCCAGGCATAAAGAAGCCTTGTAGGCTCGTTCATATGCCTCCTCAACGGGAACACAACCAACACAATTCAAATTGAACACGTGCTGTTGCATCGGACATGCTCTGGTCATTGCTTGTTTCCGAGGGTGTATTCGGTAGAAATCAACTATTTGGGTTTAGCACTGGGGCCCTGACTTTGTACGTTATGAGCAATTGAAACGATTCAAATAGTGTCACAATTCTTTTATAATTTTTCTTTTGTTCCGGAGTTCTGCAGCTGGTACGGAGTACATTATTGGAACTGTAGACTGGGGAACATAGCTGCTATCTACCAGTTCACGACCCGAGGTCATAGAGCTCTCATTACTCGACAATATCGTGATACGCTCCTCGTATGAGCGACACTATAATTTGGTCCCAATGCCACCTTGTGACATCGTGCCGGTTCCTGGGAACGATTCATCGCCAGAGAATTTCCTGCGTTCTGGGTCAGCCTATAACTAATTCGGTATTTGTCGCGAGAATGGAGGGTATTGTTTACTCACCAGCCTCGCTCCTCTCCAGACGTCAAGAAACCACAATCGCTATCGATTTCGCACTGCCACTCCCCTACTGGGCTGAGGTCGCTTATGGGTGGGCGAGATTCGTCTATGTTTATGTGTTTGTCAATATCCCGCCGCCAATCTTGGTCACTTGATATCCACTACCGGGCAAACTTACTGGGGCCCAACGTCGTAATTCTCTTCGGGCCTGGGCCTCGCCGGCGGTACGTGCTCAATCCACATGTAAAGGCGTGGAAATCCTCTTCCTCGACAGCCTTGGGGATACGTCCTGTAAGGATGCGGCCCAGGGTAATGACGACTGCAGCATGTGTGCATAACACCACAGCACGGTGTCCCTCTGCGTCGCAGCGCTCGATGATGGCCCGTACAGCTGCTGCAACTCGCCCATATAGGTCATTGATCGTTTCGCCTTTTCTAGAGGGCGTTATTGCAGACGAATAGTCCCCGTCGAATGCTGGAAATAGCTCCTTGAGACGCTTGGAAGGGGCGGGGATTGGATGGTCGAAAGGTGCTGCCCCAAAGAACTCGCCTATTCCATGTTCTGGGCGTATTCTGGCGGCCGCAGAGCCTCGGATACCTGGTTGGTCGTTGAGTTGCTGCTGCTTGAGCTCAATGAATGGTGTTATCGTCTGCAGGCATCGATAATACGGGCTTGAGTATACAGCATCGATGGGAGGATCCAGGGTCATGAGATGTTTACCCATCTCTTTTGATTGTGAGACCCCGTGAGACGTCAAGGCCGGGTCCGCGGGGATGCCTGTTGGCGATCGTATGAACCCAGTGTACACGCCAGTGAGAGGATCGACACTCCATCCAGAACGGAACTATACTCGGGGCCAGTTCATCAATACCAGAACGGAGAAATCTATGGCCGGGACAGTCGAGGCTGATCAGAACTTACTCCGTGACGAGTGACGTATATGACCTCGAGTGGCATTTTCCTTGTTAATACCTTTCCTATGTTATTTGAGGTATCGGGTGGTGTTAGGCGTCGTTGTGAGTCCTCCGTCACGAAGTTGTGAAGTTCGAGCTATAGATGATGACCTCGGGACCTCGGCGCTCGGTAGGCCACATGCCCGGCCCCACATTCCCGTTCAGCCATCCAAGACCGGCCGGCCGAGATGTCGGAGCCGTTGACACCACGGAACAACCAGTTCTCGGTGGGATGAGAGCCTGTGATGGTAGGGACGGGAAAATTTATAATAAGCCGTCCAAAAGTCCACATGTCGGAGAGTTTGAATCCGATTCTTCAGCGACTTAGAGGGGACGAGCAATTTAGCGTCAGGCTAATACCGCTGCATTTCGTCCGGCCCAATCCCGGAGCAAGCTATTGATTATTGCTAGCTTCGAATGATGCATAGATGCATGATACTGTCTATTTGTTGAAGAATTTCCGATATTCTTGCCGGTCGAACCTTTCTTTTGGCGCCTTTATTAGCCAGAAGAAGGACACGACTGGTGGGCTAGCTCCGTCAAATTATTGACGGACTAGTTAGCAAAGAAGAAGAGGTTAGGCAAAGGTCTGTCGTGACTGGACTCTGACGACATTATTCGCGAAATGTAGCGAAAGAGTTTTATCCCAGTCAAATCGGATATCAACACACCCATAGGTCTGTGTTGGGGATTGGCAGTAGTATGCAATTACCATACAATCCACAGTTGACGGTCAGAAACCGCCTTGAAGAAGCAATTGGATCAGAAAAAGGTATAGGGTAAGTCAGCTTGTGACATTAAGATTACATTGATATGGCCCAAGTGGCTCACGTCAGCCATCAGGCATACCAGTGGCTTACATGAATCCTCGCGATGCCTTCACTTCACTCGAAGTGATCAACTCTTTCAACAGTTTTTCGCAATCAAAAGTCTTGTGATATATAATTTTCAATCGGAAAATAATGGGACAAGAACGTTCCGGAGCCTCTCAGTGCTCAACGAATCCCAGCCTATCTACTCAAAAGGGGCCCTCAGCCATCAAGAAGAAGGTCACCCGCCGCGATCCCGAGAAGAGGCGACTACAGAACCGCTTAGCTCAGCAGGCATACCGTGAGTTGAACCAGGATGGGAAACAATTTCTCTTAAATAAGCCGCCTGGGTACTTTGCTGCTTGTGGCTGACATGATCCATTTCAGGGGAAAAGCAGCGGAAGCGCATACAGGAGCTAGAACGCCGTGCAGCTGAGCAGGGAGCTGCATTACAAGAAACCAATGACAGGTCCCTCGTTCACGTGGAGAATCCCGTAGCAGGACTTACTTCAGCACCTGTCAGTGAAATACTCGCAGACGCTGAAACCATCAATCCTTCAACACTCCATCCTGATCCCGGAAACTCGCTATCACAGTCGACGACGGACGTAGGCACGTGGTGTGCCAGCCTCATATTTGAAGACTTCGACCAATGGATTTCCGAAAACCCCATATACGATGAGTACACAACACCGGTGCTGTTCTTCAACTGTGGTTGTCCTACACTTCACATTCCCAACCATTCCAGAGAAGTCCTTCTTCCTGTTATCCCAGATCCATACAAAAACAATCTTCAGATCGACATCATATGTATTATCAGCGCTATGCTAGAGAACTGTCTCTCACTTGGGATAACGAGATCGATGTACTGTTCTGACGATGCCATCTCACCATTCTACAGGGCCCAGGTGGATTCGGATCCTGATCCTGAAGCCATCATCACATCTGTCCAGCGTGGATCCCGTACCCTGCATTTCGATCTCCGCCCTACACGAAAGCAGGTTGTTGTTAACCACCATCCATTCATCGATGTGATTCCCTTCAAGGATATCAGGGACAACATCATCGAGAAGATGAACGACATGGACGAGGATGAGTTCTTCCATGATTCACTTAATCACTTGACTTGTTGGGGAGGCATTGCAGGCGCACATACTGGAACCCCCTGGGACTCAAGGAGTTGGGAGGCAACGGAAGAGTTCATACTCAAGTGGTCGGACATCGTAGGGGGTGACGAAGGCGAATTGGCGAGGAACTCACGGTGGTGGAGATCACATCGTGGTGAACGGATAGTGACCGAAATGTTCTAACCTCGACGCGAGATTTCGAGAAGCGTATCAAGGTGTCTGCAGATGTTGGTTTCGAATCTACGCTCATTGTATTTGACTGTCTAGACATATATGCACAACGTCGTTCAATATGCTTGATGCGCTGAAATGCATGCTACCATCGTGGCAAAAGGACCGCCACGGTGAAGAGAACGCCGTGATCTACCATGACGCCATTAAGAACAAGAAGGTGAGCAGCCCCCTCAAAATAAACACCTATCCGTTTAGCCAAACCCCAAGACGCCTTGAGGAAAAGAACAATATAAAAAAAGTCCCAACATATTCGTAAAACATTCTGCTGTATATTGTCGCGCATTCACTTAATATACCGTATTCAGGGCCTACATGACAGTGCATGAGCCCAGGGTGCGTGCCCTCCGACGGCCGGTAGGACCAAAACCACCATCCTCTTCGTCTAAATGGAGGGCCTGGGCTTCTCTGGCTCGACGCCTGCGTCTTCGGTAGCCTGCACCTGTCATGCCTGCTTCTTCTGTGGCCTGCATGTAGTCTGCCCATTTCCTCTCCAGGCGACCAGCGGACGCAAGATCACCACGCAGGACTCGCTTCTGATGCTCATCAACGGTCATCTGGAAGCCATAGAAGCACTTAAGCCCTATCATCTCGGTTGGGTAGCTCACTCGGCCAGGTTGGCCTGATACAGCTTTGACTTGTGTGTTGCGGAAGAGGACCTCACGGACACCTGTCCAGGTCACGTTTTGACAATCGTAAACGACCATTTGGAGGGACAGTCTCGGTCGTTTTCCCGTTTCGATAGATCGTTCAGAGCGTTTCATGACCATTGCGGCTGCTTCGGCGAGGACAAGGTCGCTGACTCGAGTGTTGTCAAGGTCGACGTTCTGAAGGTTCGTGCAGGTTTGCATAACCGGAATCATCCCGGTGTCGCCCAAGTTTTCGCAGTAGCTAAGAGAGAGATGCTCTATCGAAGATGCACAAGGAGCTTTGGCAAGATGCTCTGACAGGATAGAATTGGTGAGGTTTTCGAGGTCCTCGAGTTCGAGGTGTGTCAACCGAGGTGTGGAAGCGAGAATGGACTCGAGAGCGTCGTCATTCAACAGCTTGCAGCCTGAGAGCTGCAGACCCTCAAGGTCAGGCACAAGATGACCGATCGCCTTCACGCCTGCATCTGTGAGTCGGACACAGCGGCTCAAGTCGAGGTGACGAAGTTTGCGGGCTGGCACAATGGGCCGTTCAGACAGGATATCGATTTCAGGCTCGACACCGTGCATCATGATCTGGAGGGCGTCGTCATTGAGTTCGGCGCACCCGCTCAGAACCAACCTCTCCAGGTTGTTTGTGTTGAAAATAGCCTCGGCAGTCGCCACATTGTCGAATCCTCCAACTTCACCGGCCCGAAGATCTCTCAATCTCGGGCAAGCCTCTACAACTGCCTTGACACCTCGAGCATCTACCCTGCCGCACCAGGAAATATTGAAGGTCTCAAGCTGAGGGCAGGACTCGGCAATGATCTTGCAGGATGTGTTTGAGACCGCAGTCAGCCCCGTGAGATTGAGGCTAACAAGCTTCTCGTTGTTTCGTAGCAAGCTATGGAGCGTGCTCTTTTGGAAATTTTGGCAACCTTCCAGGGTTGCGTTCATGAGGTTCTTGCATGCCTTTACAATGACCTCGGTGCGTTTATAGTGTTCGACCTGCACGCAGCCTCGTAGGTTGAGATCCTTGATGAAGGGACCAGCCGCAACAATAATCCTGGCGAGAGATTCGGCTGGAATCTCGCGATAAAATTCCGAAGCATCAAGGGACGTCCACAGCTGACCGTCAAAGCAGGCCTTGTAGAAGGCCTTGGATACTCGAGATGCCTGGACGAGTTCTCTTGGCTGGAAGAAAGAGAAGATGTGAATCTGAAGCTCATTGGGCATCTTGTCCCAAAAACGGAATGGTTGCTTCTGAATAGGCTTTACACCAGGTCGGGTTCGAATCTGTACGTCCTGCTTAGACCGAAACTCGGATGGGAGAGGGGCGGTCCCAGGAGTGGTGGTTGGAGTCGCATTTTCGACCCTACGAATGGCCAAATAACCATCAGGAGTGTCGAATGGAAACTCCCCTGAAGATTGGGGGGTTGAGCTCAAAGCGCTGGGTAGACCAAGAGGCGAGGGCTGTGGGGTCGATGAGCGGGCGCTGTAGGGGGTCTGAGGTGGACCAGTAGCCGCAAGACTGACACACGAGAGAGTGCTTCGAGTGCTGTAAGGACTCCCACGGCTTCCAACCGACCTGGAGCGACGCAGACCACTCAATGAAGGCGTTGAAGATATTCGCTGGATTCGCTGGATCAGACGGTGTCGGCTCTTGCCCTTGACCGGCATGTCCGGCGCTGGCGCAGTGGATACGCCTTCTGGGCCCGGGCTCGGGCTCGGGCTCGGGCTCGGAGCGCCGGACGGTGTTATCTCGTGGACCTCCATGACAAGAAATTCCAATTGTGTTGGAGACGTGCTTGTATGTTCTTGTACTGTATAGAGCGCGAGACGTCTACTATCACAGAGGTGGTATGAAAGAGACAGACGGAATAACACCTGCTGCGAACAATTGAAGATAATTGTCTGATTCAAGTCGGTCGGTCGATAGTGGGGGCGGCTTGGAGCCTTGCTCGCTGGTCGCTTACAGCTAATGCAGGGTCCTTTATTTCATCGCTGGCGGAGGAAGGATGTATATCGATAGGAGCCGGGAGTAAAACTGATGGACGAGAGTAGGAGAAATTGTGAAATAAGAAAAGAAATAGGTTTCAAAGTAAGAGGGGGAAAAAAATGTCGCGAAGAAGGACGGCAGAAGAAATAAGCAGGGTCCAATGTTCTGCTGGGAAACCGAGGGGATCAGCAGACGAACGGGGGATTCGGAGAGGGTGGTGGGGGGTGGTCAGCGGGGCCGTTTCGTCGTACTGGGCTTCTACTTGAAGCGAGGAAGTTTTCCAATAGAATCGAGTCTTGTTTTCTAGTTGAAGTTGGAGAACAGGGCACATGCCCGTGAGGAGATGAACATGACCGTGGGTATGAGGTGATCACCAGAGGAGAGAGGGTTGAGAGAGAGAGACAAAGAAAGAAGGGAGAGGAGAGGAGAGGAGAGGGATGAGAGCACAAAATAAGAAAAGAAAGCAACCAGGCACGTCGTAGGCAGTTGAGGCTTTTGTCCAGAGATGGATGCTCTAGAACATTACCCGTCAGTTCAATAGTTACATCCACATACTGTCTAGATCCCATAGAGTTTTGGAGTACCAACTCGACCCAACCTCTACAGTCCATACACTCAGTACCTTACAGTATAGTACCACGACACACTAGGTACCCACCTACCACCTATGTATATAGGTGCAGTTGGTCGGTTGAGGACCCTTCGTTCCCGGGCTCTGGGCCATGCTATGCCACGCTAAACCCCCCCACTATTCTCTTCTTATCGTGCGGGCTGCGGCGAGGCGATCGGCTTTACGCGACTCTTTCTGGTGGGGTGGCTCGGATGGCGGAATTCTGGGCGCCATATCTTGTATCGATGTGGTAGTCAGCGTTGTAGCCTTTCGGCGAATCCTGGTTGGAATGAGACCCTGAGACCTACGTCGCGGGCAAACACAAAGCTACCTTACTCAGAGCAAAAGCACAAACATAAGCAAAGGCAAAAGGAGCCAAGTCCTCTTGAGCAGTACGTACTGAGGTACCCAGTTAGACAAGCCCGGATTCTGAGTGCCAGAGACCCAACGGGACGGTGATCCGGAACACAAGCCAATCACTATCACTACCTATATACACACTATTCTCTTCCCTGTCGCTGTCTTCAGGGGCTTTTTGAGGGTCTTGTTGGCGTGCAGCTCTCCCCACCCTCTCGCCCATCCTTTATGCATCCTAGGCATCTCACCCGAGCCAAACCAAACCCGGGGACGAGAAACAAGTCAGTTTCTCTCGTGTGTCCGCGTGGCACATTTTATCTCTCATTGAGACGTTTATTTTTCAATGACACTGAGGCCCGTTGACTTCTCATGATAAGACTTTGAGTGTGGCTCTGATATGATTTGATCGATTGACTTTCGTATCAGTCATAACCCTGGGGCGAGCTGTTCTATGTACCAGGTGTGAACTTGATCAACTTTTAGCAGTACATAGAGTAGAGCAGAGGCACAAAAGACCCATCATTACTCCGAAGGGTTACCCGCCGTTTCTCACCACATTTATGTATGTATGTATGTATGTATGTATGTACCTTGCCTCTGACTACTGCACGTCGAGCCCACGATGCCAAAACGTCCCTGACTCAAGGGTCCAGCCTCTTTGAGCTGACTGCTTGCCCCGGACCCAACCATGAGGAGTCAACTTTCTCCGCATGTCCCTAGGTTGGTTCTGGAAGGCGGTCAGAACAAATGGATGGCAACTGAGGGAATATTTGCAGGTACACGAGTTACTAAAGGCAGTCTCAACAAAATACATACTTACATAGATTAGCCTGTACATTTTCCCAATAGTTATACATCTTTCTCATCTAGACTACCTCTACTAACCTAGGTACGCATACTAAGTACCTAGGTAACTACCTAGGTACTTTATGTACTGATGGATTCAACGTCTCTGTCTTGTTTCCTTCCTCTTTCAGCTTCGTCTGGAAGCCTAGGGAAGACCCCAGGAAGAATGCTCTGCCCCTCATCTTCCAAGACTTCTTACAGCTGACCCCGCGCTGTTCGGGCTGTTATCGCCCGATTTCTTATCGGTACGATTTGGAGGCATCAGGTTCAGAATTTACTCTACCTTATAGGGTGGGTGTCTCGTCACGATGCACTTTGGGACCTTGTTCTAAACGAGGGTTTACTGCGGTTGTGTCAAAATGCGCAGTATCTTAGATCGCCCATGTGCCTCTTGGTAGGGCTGGCAATGCACCATTGAGGTCACCGGGTGTCATTTCTGCCCGTCCGTCTCAGGTGGAGAGATAACACTACGGTGATCATCTGTTGTCGTGATAGGATCTCGAGGTCGTCTATCAAAGACATGGCAATCGATGCAGTATTCGTCATGCGCGGCGTCTTGCCAGTCAGTGTCGCGTGGTTGCAGACCCCGGTATTGTGTGCGCCGTGCCATATAAGACATGACTGTTGTTGGCCTGACCTCTTGAGCTGATCGCCTGACTCGGTCATACATGAAAAATGCCGATGGTGTAGGTATGGAAGTCAAGCAAGTTGTTCTAACGACGGCCAACATTTGCAGCGAGACACAGAAACAACCCTTTTTCTGGTGAGCCAGATTACCTCGGATTATCGAAGCCATATAATACCCAGTACCGCTGAAACAGTTTCACCCGTTTTACATCGCAACCAATCCAAGCAAAAACATCAGATAGGCAATTAGCTTAAGTTTGGCACCCTTAGTAGCCATTGTGAACTCTGTGCAAAAAAAAAATATAACTGTTTTTTCCCCCCATCGCACATTTGTCTAGGGGGAGCTGCCGTCGTGAACATGATTCCGTTCAAGAGGCTCACGGATGCTTGGCATGATATTTGGACACGTCCATTGGCGGGGAATATCTCATCTCTCTATATAAGAGCTCCTCTCCACGGGGACCTCAAAAACAAAGGAAACCATAAGGTTCTGGGATTATTTATTTGCTTTTTCGCCTCTGCCGCTTTACTGTGGTGTGGCTTGGAGAGAGCTGCTTGGTTGATGCGTAAATCAAGTGGCATCTTCGCTGTCTTGAAGGTGGCAGACCTACGAACAACATCTATCTGTCAATCGGCATGGATCCAATGTGAATTAAGGTTTGTGAAAGCATGGAATCTTGGTTCTCAGTCACCCTGGGTAACAAGGGGTGGTATTCTTGGTTATAAGGTGCTGGTCCCTTGATTCAAATGCCTCTTGCATTGACTTGGCCCTTGGTGCGCAGCAGAGCCAAATTTCATCTCTATTTTCCCCGCGTCTCGATTCCTTCTTCGTTGCTAGGAGTAACTAAGCTCCAAGGTATGGTTGATGGCTTCAGTGAGAGATTGAAGATCTGCTGTATTGGATCCCCGATGGGAATAAACCTGCAAGCAAGATTGTGGCGAACGAACTGATTGTCTCATATGAAAACAACTCCAATTACAAGTCCATAGTCTGGTTTGTTTACAGTCCAACACTCAACGCGTTCGTGCATCTAGAAATACGATCTCATCTGACATTCAGATTGTGTTGAAGCCAAAGAAATAGGATAAAGGATGCTGGCGTCATTTGCCTGGTAGTAAATGTAGCTCAATACTGTACAGCCAATGTCACAACGGTTAGAAAGCTTGAGCTTGTTATGTACTGCCTATATATGACTGCCATCCATTCCTCCATCCAATGGATGCTGCCTGTATCCTGGGGGTCTTCCAGGGTCAAGCAAGCACTAAGTGTCTACCAGCAACCGCTGGGCTGCCAATCAGATTGTCTGATGACTTCACAAGTCTTGTCTTGGGAGCAGCCTATGATAACGACGCAAATCCCGTCCCCTTCATGCTCCTCAACATCAATCTCTCAGGCTCGTCTGAAAGCTCCTATCTCGACAGTCAAAACTTTCTCTTAGTGGTAACAAGTTTTTAAACGTGCACCACCAACGTTAACCTATTTCCTTACCTATAATTTTCTATCCCCTGCGGTACACGCTCAATTCGCCCTCTCGGCATTTCCTTCGACTCACGCTGACCGGGCTCCTTTCTTTGTGTTTTGGGTCACAAGCCAAGACATAGCCCTGACAATACGGCCCCATCCCCGGTCTCGTCCGTCGTCACCCTTCAAGGCCCAATCTTGGAATATCGATAATTCAAATTATACCCATACGCATCTTGGTCTATCATTTATCCATTCTTTTCTTCTTCTTTTGGATAAACGAATCCCTCTCCTATCTGACGGCTGGTTTCAAGTTTTCATTCGATTTCCAGGCAATCGAGCCAACCGAGATTTCCTCCTCAACCCCGCCATCCTGAGAGCAGACCTCGTAACCCTTCCATCACGACTTGACCTGTGGTTTCGGCCTCTCCTTGGCCGACTCCAACTATGCTACAGATGCATGGGGGACAAAATGATCATGGTACCACCACCTGCAACCTGCCACTACTCTTGGTCTGTGGCCTCCTGTCAGCTAACCAGGGTTTCTTGACACAGGAGCCGAAAATCACACTGGGGATGATGAACGTGGACGAGAGAAGCTGCCAATGCCCCTCTCGTTGCCAAAGAACCGTAGTACGGGAAATTTGGCTGCCGCAAGGAACTCGTCAACGCAAGATCGAAGCAGAGCACGCATGTCCCTGGATGCGTCCGCGGCCGCGGCGGCTGCCGCTGACCTTGAAGCTATCGCCAGGTATGTCGAGTGAAATCATGCGCCACGGAGCCCAGCTGTGGCGCCCACCCTCGGCCTGCTTCCTTGCTGACCACCATATCAACTCCAGGTCTCCCATCATGACCGATCACGAGCATGGCCTAGG